TGTCATTAATTTCTTTATTTCTTTTTTCTCAATAGATTTTAGACTATGTTTGTTAAAAATCCATACCGTGTACAGGTTCTGGGAAGTCGGGGGGGGGGGGGGGGGGGGGGGGTTGGGGGGGGGGGGGGGGGGGGGGGGGGGGTGGGGGGGAGGGTGGAGGGAGGGAGGGGTATACATTGGGCTAGACAAGAATTTGGTGGTAAACTAGAACTATTTTGACACACAAAAAAATTGTACTCCGATGCCTCACTGAGTGAGGAATGATGAAATGTTTGTTTTAAAAGAAAATAAAACTTTTGAAACATGGGAATGATAATAGTTCTATCCCTATAGCAGGTAACTTTTAAAATAGGTACAGGTAGTCCTTGACTTACAACAGTTCATTTAGTAACCATTCAAAGTTACAACTGCACTGAAAAAAGTGACATGACTATTTTTCATACTTATGACCATTGCAGCATCCCCATGGTCATGTAATCAAAATTGAGATATTTGGCAACTGGCTCATCTTTATAATGGTTGCAGAGTCCCGGAGTCATGCGGTCCGTTTTGCAACAAGTAAAGTCAATGCCAGATTTACTTACTAACTATGTTGCTAATTTAACAACTGCAATGATTCACTTAACAACTGTGGCAAGAAAAGACATAAAATGGTGGCAAAATTCATGTCACAAATGAGCAACAGAAATTTTGGGCTCAATTGTGGTCATAAGTTAAGGACTGTATGAAAAAGAAGGGAGGAAGGGAGGGAGGTTCATTTGAGAATTTAGCAGAAAATCCTCCTTTACTGAAAGTTTTTGCAGCCTTTCAACAGTTCCGTTTTGAAAACTTTTCAAAGCCATTCTCTATTAAATGTTCTGCTTTACAAATTCAGTTAATAACAATGACGGAGTCCAAAGACTGCATGGTTACCATGATGCTGGCTGGGAGAGAAGAGATTGTTAAGGAAAAACGCTGCCCCTGCCTCTTCTGATTGTACATAAATGATTCAGGAGCAAAAAATGTACAAATTCCACACTGTCAACTAGCTTGTATGAATATTTAATAATGCAAAATATAGCTGGGGTGATCAGGCAGATTTGCCAAATCTGTGATGGAGTTTGATAAATATGGATGAATCTTTCTTCTTTCCCATCAATCCGTTTCCCCCCCCCCACCTCCAATGCCCAAAGTGAATTTATCTTCCAGAAACAGTCAGAAAATTGCATGCAGAGAAGCCTCAATGCATGGATGTGACAGTGGTGTTGGGAAGAAAGGCTTAGATTTGTTAGGCACTAGGGACCCTTGGAATAAGCTGAGCCAGCACAAATGGGACAAGTGCCACTTGAACTACAGTGAGACAAGAAAGTAGTAGAGTGGTTTTCAAACTGATTTTGGAGAGAGAGAGAGAGCAGAGGACAAAACAGTATGACACAATCAATCCATCATGTGCAGCTGTCCTTCCAATTGTTTATGTTGGTATGGAGTGTGGAGGGACTCAATTCTGTTTGAGATTTGCACAAATAGAAAGAGATTTCAGCCTTCCCATTTTACAACTGCAATCCCTCTATTAAAATAAATATTAAAAACTCAGCTCCAATTGATGCCAATGGAGAAAGAATGATTTATTTTTTTAAAAAAACAGATCCAGGGAAGAACTACAAAACAAATGGGTGGATGGACAGACTGCAGCTCCCACTCCATATGCTATTAGGACTGAGCCCCCAAATTCTTGCAGCTTTATAAACAAGCAAACAGATGGGCAGCTACATGTTACATATTTGATTTATGTAAGAATTCAGCAGAACCTCATTTAGGGTGTGATTTTTCTGAAGACTAATACTGGGGATATTTCAAGGCTTGAATTGCAAACAAACAGAACTTGACAATGAGTATACAGACAGAATAAAATAGCAACCATTTAAAGGGACATTAAAATTGTAGCGCAACATTTCTAAAGAGCTCTAGATCTGGAAAAATATCTATTTTTATGAAGCATAAAGTCAGATCTCTCCTGAGTTGTACTCAATTCTCGATGACATCAGACACAACCACACAATAATCTTGGCGATAACATGAAGATGACTTGGCACTGCATTCTTCTTGGATTTATTTGGTTTTCCCAGTCTACCCTACCCTTGTCATAATAAGAAAAAATGAGACCTGTATAATAGTCTTAGAACATAAATACTACCATTATGTATTTGCATCCCTTTGTATGGCACAAGAGTCACTGCTTTAGGGTGGATGGTCATATAAATAGTTTAAACCAAAATATATAGTAAGTTATGGGCTTATACAGTGGTGGGATTCAAATAATTTAACAGCTGGGTAGGCAGGGCTCGGTAGTCATGTGACTGGTGGGCATAGCCCACTCAACGTCACTCACGTTGATGGGCGCTTCACCTTAGCTGTTACAATGTAATAAGGGTTTACCAGAGAGGCAGTTTCTGTAAGCAGGGCAATAAAGATTAGGCTAGAAACAACACCAGAATGTTTCCTTCCTGCCTTTCTTACAGGATTTGCCCTTTAAAGTGGAAAAAAACAGAATGCGATTTCTTCCAACAACCGGTTCTCCAAACTGCTGAGAAATTTAACAACCGGTCTCCCAAATAGGTGTGAACTGGCTGAATCACACCACTGGGTTTATATGATGACCTGATTACCTTTCATGTTCTTCCCCTCCTCTGGATACCTACCGTACTCACCTAGAGGCCTAGAATTTCCTGTTTATTTCTCATCCAGGTACTAGCTGGGTCCAAACCTACTTTACTTTTCAAAACCTGCCAAACTAAGCGCTGACTCCTTCATCCTGATGCCCTTCAGATGTGTTGGTATTGAAAAAATCTTGAGAAGTTTTGGTTGGGAAATGTATCT